TCTTATTCCTTTCCTTGACTGAACTTTTGAGTAATAAATTGTTGATTATTGAGTCATTACATCTGTACATGCACTGTATTTCCTTAAATGAGAGCCAGGGTGTCGATTTTTTAAAATGACATTTGAACCTACATGTGGAAATAAATTTAGGAAGTAAATTGAAACTTAAGCAAATAGTGGGATTTGAACCAGGAACCTCACGCAAATGACTTCATGAAGCTTAAGAAAGCTCAAGGAACTACACAAGGCATCTATATTATTGTAAGGCTATATTTGCGTATTTATAGTTCCATTTTGTTGCTACTCCGGCATTTATTTGGAGATATATGGTACATGTATAGCAACTGCATCTCATAGTGCTGGTACTCCCTGTACTGTACTGTAACAGCACAAAATTGTAAATAATAGCATTATTATAGGGCATAGTACATGTATGACATACATGTATCATTTACCTTAAAGCCACTTATTTTTAAGTAGACAAATTTTTACAATTTGTTAATGGTACTGATTTAGCGAGTACTGATTTTTGCGATTTTACTCTTTTTTCTCAATTAATAACTGTTAATAAACCTAAAATTATTAATAAATGTGAGTACTAATATTTGCGATTTTAAAGCCACTCGCAAAAAACACAAAAAAATTAGTACTCGCAAATAATAGTGGCCTTAAGGTATTAATTTTTCTCATTTCCAGTTCTAAATTCCAAATTGCTCATGCTCACCAGAATTTCCAGAAATGCAGCCAGCACTGTGAATAATGAAATATAAGCATGATATTTTACTTCCAGCTTTTCTAGCACAATTCAAAACGTCATTCAACATTAATCACAAGAACAACAACAGAACCCCATATAATATTCTTCATGCAAGATTGAAATCACACTAGATTAACACATATCAATTGATGTATTCATGCATTACTTAAAAGTCCTCCCTTTTTAATTCTTTCTCTCTTGTTTTCTCTTATAGTGATGTGTGCTACACGAAAGAAAGTTGTGACATCTTCATTACTGGCTAGTGGTCTCATGGTGCTGGTCTCTCCCACCACCATGAAACTACACATGTACATGTGTAACTGGCTAATGATGGCTACATCTCTGCTCTCTCATGAGCTATGGTCAATGGTAAGAAAAAGTTGTTTACAAAGCATAATAATATATTGTGCCTCACCAACATACTTTCTTTAAATGTATGTACTGCAGTCTAAGACTAAAAAATTCAAAACTTAATAATTTTTTTATTGAGCTGTAGTCTGCATGTACATGTACAATGTACATGTAATTTAGAACTACGTGTACATGTTTGAACATATATATTTGTCCCTTTTTGTAGGTATGCATGTAGCTTCCTGCAATTACTCCTGTTAAATGGGAAAATTTTTATTGAGAGCTGCTTCATAAAATTTTACTACATATGTAATTGCTAGTGATTCCTGTTATAAGGAAGAGTCAATTAATATTAATAACTTCCACTGGAAAGTCCCTCCTGGTATGCATTCATCTGATTTTATAATAGTTATTTTATAGCTTCCTGCAATCCTGCTGTCTATAAAAGAGTTGATGTACAGTGCAGAATTTGTGTATTACTTTTGTTGAGTATGGCTGTGCTTGCTGAGGCAGGTCATGGCTCGCTACACTTTGGTGATACTGTTCTTTTTCTTATTAAGACAAAAGATTATCAAGGCTATGTTTACTCTGAGCTTTCAAGGTAAGTACAATTCTTGCTTAATCTCTTTTCATATGACTTTTTAGCTCTCCCTTTTTAACTGTGTACAACTTGAAAGAGCATAATGAGAAGAATCCAGATTTTCCAAACATTGCTTGTAAGTTAAGTTTTATGCATGCAATATAATGCAGGTAACATTGGCTACCATCAATAATGTTGTCAATTTTCCTACTTTGTAATAATATGCATAGCGAGTCTTGCATAGTCAGCACTGTATTAATGTGTAAGTGATGATTATCACTGGTTGTTGATGTTTATTTACAATAATAAAGTTAGCATAAGTGTGTCCTTTATTTCTGAATGCACAATCAAATGTGTAAATGACCATAATTTTATGACAAATTATTATTACAGTTGCTTCTTTTAAAATAATGGCTCCAAACAAATACAAGGCAAAGCAACAACTAAAGCAGGCCCAACTGTGAGTCACGCATGCAGTTTAAAGCCCATTATTCGAAACTTTATTTTGTAGAGATCCTGAGAGTCAAGAGCATCTCAATGCCTTGGTAAGTTGAAGTTGATGTACTGTACATGCATCTATGTACATGTAGTTTGATTTCTCTAGTATGTATTAATTTTTTTACTCACATGATCTTGCATTTTGATTGCACTTTAAAGTTTTCAATTTACACTATATAGCTGTAAATTTGTATTACAATAGTGAGGGTCAATTTTATATCTACATAAATGAGCATGTAAAGCACACACATAGATATACTGTACAGCAGGATTCTTCCTTTCAACCAAACATTTTAATCTCTAAGCTCCAAAAATGAGATTTAAAATTGCAAGAAAAAAGAGTAGAATAATGCACTAAAGGAAAATAAAATACACAAAGTTGTAGTTGACCTAGAAACCTGATCTATGCAATACTTTGTAACTTAATTTGTCTAATAAATGCAGTGTTAATCATTTAAGAGAAACTAACTGTTTGCATTCTCATTTTAATTTTATTGTCATCAGTGCAGCCATCTACATGTACATTGCATAAAGCATTATATTTCATTAAAGGGTCATTTTCTTTTCTTCCATTGCCAAACTTTTTAAAACAGTAACCTTACCCATGTACATGCAGTCATGCAAATTAAACATGTATTTGTTAATCTTATAACTTTTCCTTATCCTCAAGGCATTTTGATTAGCTAGCAGGAGTTGTCTTCCGTGACCTTTGTAATAACATAATTAAAGCACATTATTTTTCCTTCCCTTTCCTCCAGTAGAAGCAAACATTTCCTTACCACTAAATTAATTGGCATTTATGTGCATGCTATGATTTCATACCTACATGCACATGTACATTGTACGTCTCACAAAATGTACATGTACTTGTAGTTGCATCTCAAACTTTAAATTTGAAATGGCCTCTTGTGATAAATGTGATTACAATAATGCAAGGAGAAAACAGAAAAAACAGAATCAACATAATAAAATTTTGTTGATTTTAAATTATCAATTTAAAACTAAAGGAGATAGTTTATATGTGGTTTAATAAAATTTGTGGAAATGGAAAAATGAGAAAAAATATGAGTGAGACGAGAGAAGAGTGAGTCAATTAAGTTATTGTAGTTACTATAGACTTTGTCAATTTTATTAAAATCTTTGCCATTTTACTGATGTGCCTTTTTATATCTCATGGCTATTTCAAAGTCAGTGTAGCAAGGCCTTAAAGCAACAGACAAGTCAAGAGTTTTCTAGCTGCAACATAAGGTAGAGATTCTGCTTCTCCAGCAGCTACTAATCTACGAGGCTGAGCCCCTTATTCTTTTACATTTTATTATTTTATTATTTTGATACCTGTGTATGGAGATATATACTGTATATCCTGTATTATTCTATAGAAGCCATACAGATCAAAGGTACTGCGCATAGTAATAGTACATGTATTTTGAATATTTTCCCAATCTAATGATAAGGAATGTGTACATGTGCATACAATGTACTTGCATACATACTGTACATACATGCTCTACTCATCTTAGTGGTTTTACCCAATTATTGTCATATTTTAGATTATTCTTAATGATATTCATTTGCTAACTTGTAGGAGCATTAATTTTTAATAGTATTTCCCAGAATTGAGTAGTAATACATGTATTTCATTAATTTTTAAATCAATTACCATATGTAAATACATGCTCTACTCATCTTAGTGGTTTTGCCCAATTATTGTCGTATTTTAGATTATTCTTGATGATATCCATTTGCTAACTTGTAGGAGCATTAATTTTTAATAGTATTTCCCAGAACTGAGTAGTAATGCATGTATTTCATTAATGTTTAAACCAATTACCATATATAAATACATGCTCTACTCATCTTAGTGGTTTTGCCCAATTATTGTCGTATTTTAGATTATTCTTAATGATATTCATTTGCTAACTTGTAGGAGCATTAATTTTTAATAGTATTTCCCAGAATTGAGTAGTAATACATGTATTTCATTAATGTTTAAATCAATTACCATATGTAAATACATGCTCTACTCATCTTAGTGGTTTTGCCCAATTATTGTCATATTTTAGATTATTCTTAATGATATTCATTTGCTAACTTGTAGGAGCATTAATTTTTAATAGTATTTCCCAGAATTGAGTAGTAATACATGTATTTCATTAATGTTTAAATCAATTATCATATGTAAATACATGCTCTACTCATCTTAATGGTTTTACCCAATTATTGTCATATTTTAGATTATTCTTAATGATATTCATTTGCTAACTTGTAGGAGCATTAACTTTTAATAGTATTTCCCAGAATTGAGTAGTAATACATGTATTTCATTAATGTTTAAATCAATTACCATATGTAAATACATGCTCTACTCATCTTAGTGGTTTTGCATTATTGTCATATTTTAGATGATATTCATTTGGTAATTTTGTTGGAGCATTAATTTTTAGTAGTATTTCCCAGAAATGAGTAGTAATACATGTATTTCGTTAATGTTTAAATCAATTATCATATGTAAATACATGCTCTACTCATCTTAGTGGTTTTACATTATTGTCATATTTTAGATGATATTCATTTGGTAATTTTGTTGGAGCATTAATTTTTAGTAGTATTTCCCAGAAATGAGTAGTAATACATGTATTTCATTAATGTTTAAATCAATTACCATATGTAAATACATGCTCTACTCATCTTAGTGGTTTTACATTATTGTCATATTTTAGATAATATTCATTTGGTAATTTTGTTGGAGCATTAACTTTTAATAGTATTTCCCAGAATTGAGTAGTAATACATGTATTTCATTAATGTTTAAATCAATTACACAGTACCATATGTAAATACATGCTCTACTCATCTTAGTGGTTTTGCATTATTGTCATATTTTAGATAATATTCATTTGGTAATTTTGTTGGAGCATTAATTTTTAGTAGTATTTCCCAGAAATGAGTAGTAATACATGTATTTCCTTCATGTTTAAATCAATTACCATAAATACCATGACATATGATAATCATACGCATCAAAAAGCATGTTATGCTTAATTATTGGTGGGATATAATATTTTTTGTTTGTAGCATGCTTTTGAAATGGAGGAAGCAGAAAATAAACTTGAACAGAAAAGGCATTTTGGCAGTCGAGTTTTATATGGTGATTCAATTCAAGTGAGCCAAAAAATACTTTTAGTAACTACACGTATTCCCTTCATTCTAAGACTTTTTTCTATTTTGCTGCATCTCTTCTTTTCTTTATTATTCATTTTCTTTATCTTTCTCTCTCTTTCCTTTATGTATCCAACATGTATCTCTCCCCTCCCTGCTTTCTTCCTCTCTCTCTCTCTCTCTCTCTCTCTCTCTCCCCCTCTGAGCACATGTTTTACATGTATATGTCAATGCATAAATAATTCATTAAGTGCCAAACCAAAACCCAGCCTTAATTAATAATAACAGCTAATAAATAATAATTACCTAAAGCACACGTTAAGTTTATAGTGCCAGGAGAAAAATAACCAATACAAGTGACCAGAGCTCAGTAAAAATAATTTTTCAACTTGATTGGTCAATGTGTCCAGACATAATCCAATTTGTCTGGACATTGTGCAATTTTGATCGGACATCACATTTGCATAAAGTAAAACATTTTATCTAAATCGTTATATATCATCTAGCCAAGCATTCCTTTTCTGCAGTAGTTCTATATGAAATATTTCTTTTTTGGCAGTTAAATCCTTTTGATTAGTAGCTTAAGCCTGGTTTCCATATAGCCATACAACAGCCTTACAACACTGTTGCAACAATCATGGAGATAGAAATCAGGTCTATCTCTACAACAGTTGTATGCTAACTACAGAATCCACACAACAGCTGCAACTATATGGAAACCAGGCTTAAGCTACTAAACTGCTTATAGTTCAAAGTGAGGTCTAGACAGTTAAAATAACAGGAGTGGCTTAAGTTGCCCAAAATAACACGTGGTTTATATGTTTGGCATTTTTGTTTGCGCATGCGTGAATTGCAAAATGGCAAAGTAGAAGAGCAGACCAGCCAAAACCAGAGCAAACAAGACTATTTTTTATAATAATAAGAGAGCCAGGTCTTGCAGAAGGAAAGAGTTTGCAG